TCAAAATGGTGCTTGAGGACGTGGATCAAAACGGTAAATCAAAGATGGTAAAATCCTGTCAGTTCGCTATAATACACAGTTTAATCTTGACTTTCAGAGTTTATTACTGTGTTTATTGGCGTGATGGTTTGGCCATAATAGTTTAACTAGTCATTACTAGTTAATCAATTAGTCATTAAGTCAGTGGGTGAAAAACATGAACAAATTGAACAAAATCTATCCTTCAACAAGCTTTTCAAAATAATTTGGTTTAACTGTATAATCTGTAGAAGTATGGAGTTACTTTGCTTTTTTTCTGAACTGGTGTAATAAATTGTAATCTTTTACTAGGCTATCTGTTGCCTGTGTTGTTACTGTTGTCATATTGTGTGTGATTTTAAATTTTAAAACCCATTTTGGGTTAATTTAACCCAGCAGTAGGCCTATAGTAAATTGCAAACAATATTTGAATTAAATAAAACAGTCCACCATGTTTATTGATACATTACCTGATATATAATGTATTAATTTACAGCCCGCAAATGTTGTATTTACCCTGTAACTACACCGAACAAGGGGGGAACAAAGCACCACTTAGATTTACAGCCCGCAAATGTTGTATTTACCCTGTAACTATGTGGAACAAAGCACCACTTTAATTTACAGCCCGCAAATGTTGTATTTACCCTGTAACTATGTGGAACAAAGCACCACTTTAATTTACAGCCCGCAAATGTTGTATTTACCCTGTAACTATGTGGAACAAAGCACCACTTTAATTTACAGCCCGCAAATGTTGTATTTACCCTGTAACTATGTGGAACAAAGCACCACTTTAATTTACAGCCCGCAAATGTTGTATTTACCCTGTAACTATGTGGAACAAAGCACCACTTTAATTTACAGCCCGCAAAGGTTGTATTTACCCTGTAACTACATGGAACAAGGAAGGAACAAGTTGGACTTAAACACAGAATAAGTGTATATTTGCACAGTAATTACAGATAAAAATATTGCACTAGTTTTAATTTAATTGTTCGATGGTCAAATTAAACCCTCTACATTTTTTTTTTTTGCTATAAAAATACCACAGTATACATCCACTGAAATACAAATGTTGTATCATGTATTTTTTCTGCGAACAGCTGGAAAGAGGTAAACTTGTTTTAAGCTGCATTGAACCTTGATGGTATATCATGCAAAGTTATTTGGTGCTGGTGTGAAGTTGCTGAAATCGACGAATAAGCTTTCATAAGATAAGTAGACTTGTGAATTATAAATCATAGCAAAAACTCATTAACTCATTTCACTAGATGCCCAGTTTTGTTGTTCAGTAATCTCAATCATGTCCGTCCTTTTATAATAGAATGTGTAACCCATGGTTAAAAAAATACCTATACGCCTATAATAAAATACCAATATAAAATTATAAAAAGTATATATCCTCTTTCTAAATCATTCCCAAACATAGCTTTGCAGGTTGCATATCTGGTTGTTACCCCCTTACTACCCAAACGTAACACATTGTTCCCTTATACCTACACGTATGTTCTTTATAGGTACACTATAATTACAGAAACGTACACCGTAAATTCAGTATACTTACATAGTTCTTTGTGGGTTGTAATCTAAAGTGTTACCCAAGTTTTCATTTTTTGGTGAACTATTCCTTTAATGAAAATAAATAGGGTTCATAGACTGTCAAGCTCCAAAAAGGACAAAAAGCATCATGAAAATTATTTCAGAATTTCCTGAAGTCATACAATAGATTATGTGAGGAACAGGTTGGTTATTCCACTATAAATAACTATTGAAGACAAGCAACAAATGACAGAATTTTCAGTTTGGGTGAAGAATTCCTTAAAAAGAAAAGAACAATACCATTATTTTCATCAAATATAAAGCTCAAACTAATGAGGCTCTGTTTTATCTCATTAAGGTAAAGAAAAAAATGTAGCAAGTTTTGAAATGGGGAGTTCCTATTAAAAGTCATCCCCAGATCATTTACTGCAAGAGCATAATCTGCCTCATGGGTCATCATTAAGTGATCATCTGCTATGCATTATACAATTCACAATCATTTCCTCATAGATAAACCTCAGAGGACCAACAGGCTTTAAAGAGGGATGGACATTCACTAATTGGAATTGCTCTTTTGTTGGAGGATTACTAGTGCAACCACCATTAGTTCCACGCTTTGCTTTCAAAGCCCTTCCCAAGGACTCTCTTAAAAAGCAAGGATCTTCGCCTTTACAAGAAAATGGGCATTGGTGCACTGGGTAACATAATGAGAAGGTACTATTTCTTTATGTTCATAAAACAAAATTATTTATGCTGATTATACTAGTTTTCTAATCAGAAATAGATTTTTGTACATCCCTAAAAGGTTCTGAATACACCCCATGGCCTTCCTGTGAATTGCAGAATTTCGCTGAAGCATCATTATCCTTCAAAGTTCCCTCAGAGGAGCTTTTTGTGTGTCCTTGCAGCAGGTAATTTGTGCAGAAACTTCCAGTAGTCCTTTCCAGACTGCAGGACGTTATTACTGACCATGACACCTTCATTGCCTCACATTAGTTTTCAGTAATAAATGACCCTCTGGACTATATAGCCATCTACATACTTATAACACATCGCCAAAGCACACACAAAGCAAAGTCCTGCTACTTATTAATTCTCAATCATTTTTAGGGTTCTTATGGGATTGATACACAAGCAAGCATAACTCTTCCAATATCATTTACACTGAATGTTGTTGAATGATGAAGGCTGTTCTATTTTTTCTTTGTGTATTATTTGCATGAAACATCTTTTGGAGTAATTATTTGAGGTCAATTAGAAATTACATTTACGATTGTATTTGTATGAGTATACATCCCACTGAGAAATAGGAGAAGCCCAAAAACACACTGGCAAATGTAACATGATTTCATCAGTAATCATATGTATTTATATGTAAACTGTGCTACTGACCCACATTTTTGTACATTTGCATAGACATTGAACTACATTTTCATAAAATGTAAATTTTTTATGTATGAACAACTTTAGAGACATACAAATGTTTACAAATCTACAAATTTCAGTCCATTGAAGATTTAATTTGTGGTAATAATAGATTGATTTAATTGTGTTTAAATCTATGAAATCAATTAAATATGCTTTAGCGTGCCATCACATTTAACATATTTATCTGTTTGAACATTATAACAATTTTATTCTGGTCTGTGCAATTTCTGTTGCTGCATTCAACGCTTTTAGACGGACTTCGTCATTTTACACTGGATGCACTTTTTACAAGTCAATTTTAAAATATTAAATGACAATTCTGCCAACATTTAATCATTACTTAATAATTTTATTTGCTGTGGCTACAAAGTAATTGACATATGCACCGCAAAAAAAAAAAAATGTATTCATTATATTACCGGATTGTATTCCAGGTCTGCATATGTCAATTATAAAGTCAGTTAGCTCCGTGTGAGAAAAAGAGCTTAATTTAATTTAGAAAAAAATCATTATAGTATTTTATTTGAACTAAAATGCTTTATTCTGCACTTATCTGCCAATTACGTTTTTTAAAAAGGTAGGTTTAGGGTCTCAAAACAGTCAAATGTAACTACATTAATATATTTATGATATAAATTAAAAGTTTTTACACATCTGCAGCATACATTAATACTTTTACATTTTAGATGCTGTCAATACGTCCATAAGCCTCAGCACAAATCCAAAAAACAAACGCTTTTACAATAAAGCTCTGGTAACCGTCATCAACCTCGTCTGTACTGGAAATGTACAAGGATTTCACATAATGCAGTTTACACCTCCTTCATAAAACATGCTTAAACTTTCAAACATGGCATCTGAACACCAACAATAGCTTATATTTATATTGCTATTGTATTCTGATACACATACTGAACATGCCGTCCAATGACAATCCTGATGGGCATAAGGTGATGGATTTGACTTGTAGGTTGCAATGACACAATACCCACAGATCACATAAGTCAATAAATAACCACGATTGTACACATATATTTCCTAAACTTTATTGTTACCAATGATATACTGTATTGAAATGCAGACGACAGCGTAAGGAAGTTAGAAAACTGAGAGGTCTCAAATTTTGGAATGACTAAATGTAGCCTGAGCACACCTGAGAAATTTAGGGTGGTTAGGTTACAAAGGGTCACACTGAGAAGTATTCCTACCATCCAGATCAGTGGAAAAATACCCTGTGCTCGGACATGCTGCCTAAACCCTAGGATGGATTATGTGTATGTTTATCCACTCTGTTAACATGTTAGCATATTCTTCCCTTTAAAATAGTCATACAGGAGCATTTCTGGTTGCTCATGGATGTTGATAAGTTGCTGACTTGTTAGTATCGTAGACTCAAATCCGCACTGTATGCATTGTCCTCTGTCCTGAGCACCACTAGAGGACACAATGTTATGACACCCTTATGCAACCATTTGGATTACTAGCATATAGCACTGGGAATTGATCTGGATAGTGAGAAATTGTCCTTTGCAATTATGTCTTCTATGACTATTGTTCCTATTCTCAAACTCCCAGCTGTCCTGGAAATCAATACATCATCCAGAAATGCTATCTTTAAATAGGAGAGGACAGAAATATAAATAATTAGAATAGCCCTTGTACTGTAATCCTCATCTTTCAATTGAGTATCCATAATAAAGGATGGCATGAGTAAGAGAGACTTCCACAAGAGAGGCTAAACTCCAAGAGACACATCAAATATCACAGAAGGATTCAGCAGAAAAGGAACAACAATGTTTAGGGAGTAAGTATTAGTGTGCCCAAAGAAATACAATGAGTGCAAGGTTGCAAGTCACTGACAAACGTTTATCAAATGAATGAAAGGGCATGAAATTGCTTGTGGTCATGTTATGCTTCTAGGTCAGTATTTTTTTTTTTAAGTGTCACTGTAATGGCACCTACAAAATGAATGTTTAAATATACAAATATAAGAAACACCCCCAGAAACTTACCATCTTTCCTATATAGGGAGATCTCCACTTTCCTTTCTTCAGAGCCTAGTAAGGCTTTGGCCATCTGGGCCACCGCTGGTCGTCCAGTACGCGGTCCATACAGAAAACTGCAGGTACACGGCTTCTGCATGACCTCTGCACGTGTGTAGCCGCACATGCCACAAAAACCATCATTGCAGAAAATAATGGCGCAGTTTTCAACTCGAGCATTGGCGATAATGAATTTGCGATCTGTTGAGGTAAAGCAAGAGATGCAAGACATTCATAAATCACATTCATGTAGAACCAAAAAAACAAGCTGCCATTGTGAATGAAATGAATGTCTTTTTTTTTTACCTCAGTTAAAAGAAAGATAAACTTACAGTAATATGCAATAAAATTAAATAAATTATTAAAATTAAGTAATTATTAGTCACAGTTTTTAAGACACTTTTCACAGAAAAAAACCTCACATACTTCACACATTAATTTCATGTGTGTGTGTGTGTTGTGAATACATTTACATCAAAATTTTGTTTATTTAGATCTTTATTTACATCTCCTATAGTGATGCTGTGAATTGTATAGTTACTACTAATGGACAGTTTCTCCCAGTTATCACATATTCAAATGATACAAAAACATTTATTAATAATAATCATCATCATCATCATCATAAAAGTCTAAAAACCGAATACCGATAATGGAATTATTAAAATTGTGAACAATAATCATCATCACCATCATAATAAACATCTTAACAACATATTCAGTGTTCATTTAACGAACCAAGCACGCAAACAAAAATCATTCACTTACTTTGACCGTCGAATTTCCGAATGATGGTGTCCAGGAAGGTGTTCTGAGGCGCAACGTGTCCCCGTCGAACAGGCATTATGTCCTAGCTTAGTGGGGCAAAAAGTTCTGCAAGTTCCGCCTCAGCTTGTGTTTGTTTTCAATAAGAGAGAGATATTGACTGCGCCGCCAGGACTCACACATGCACACAAGCTTTACATTTACAGGCTCATCGACGTAAAAGCAACACTAGCCTCTTTAAAGTCTCACACACAGTAATTACGCTTTGAATCTGTCAGTGCGCGCAGCCTCGCGCTCAGTAAATCATCTGTCTGTCCAATTACCTCACGTCACCTGCTTCCTTTTTTTGCAAATGAATGCAAATCAACTTTTTGTCCCAATCCACTCAATCACTTGAGTGTTCACAAGCTGTGAAACAGCCCCTCTCTGTGTTTGGGAGAGCTTAAAAATAAGATTGAGTAGTAGTGTATGGAGAAGATGGTTGGGGAGGGTAAGGACTCAAGGGTGTGGAGGACCACATGATTCACTCATCCTGATGTTACCTCTCGGAGTGCCACTCTTCAGCTAGCACAAATCCGATTTAGAGTGGTGGACCAGGTCGAGCGCAAACTATAATATATTGGTAGAAGAAAAGCTAAGAAAATGGTGAAACTATATTTGGATAACATGGATAGAGAAACCTCCAGATGATTTCCATGTATTTGCAAATTAACTTTCTTTCTTTAAACTTACAAGTATGTATAAATTAAATATACAGATGTTATAATATAAGTGGATATTTTAAATATAAAGATGTTATAATATAAGTGGATTCTTTGTTTGGATCCATTGTTTTCTACTGGGGTCCAAGAGGGTATAAGCTACTGCAGATTTCTTAAGTTGTTTTAAATGTACAAATGTGTATATACTGTATGTGGATACTGATCATTTTAAAGCAGTAGCTCTCAACTCCAGTCCTGGGCACCTGATTCAGATAATCAGCTTCATAAATTGAGCCGTGTGTGTCAGATAAGACAGACAATAAATGTGCATAGCAGTGGGTCCCCTGGACCGGAGTTATTGTCAACATCAAATTTACCATCTTGCTGTTTGCTTAAAGTACATTAAAATATGCATATTACTGCAACACAAATGAAGCACAATTGTTATTGTCTTAGAGTTATTAAGGGCTGTCGCGACCACAATATTAATATCGCTACTGAGTATAGCCTACGTTTAGTTTTTTTCTATGTCTTGTTTTAGTGCACGTGTATTGAATTTTCAGAAAGTTAATAATCATAACAAGAGTAAATAGAGTAATATTTCACACCAGCTGGCTTTTATATGTCATTAAGACTGTGTGCCTTTGTGATTTGTACATATGTTCTGTAGATCTAGAGAGAGAGAGAGAGATTGTCTGAGCATGCATGATTACTTGCGTCTGTCCTTCTTCAGGTCAAGTCATGTATTTGTGGAAAAAAGTCAGTTTGCCATCAGTTGTCAGAAGATGAAAGCGATATCTTTGTCATAGCATCCTTTCAGCGTTTAAGGGGATTTCCCATCACTGCGTCTGCGATATTCAATGTATTGAACAGCCTATGGCATTGTTCTCTATGAAGTGAAACATCAGTTTCAGCATTACCCAGGTAACGCATTGATCGTCGATTGAACCTTGCAAAGTGGCTTTAATGTTAAACTATTTTCAACATCTTGTTTAATTAAAAGATGGTACCTTTCCGCCACCTCCTGGCATAATAATGTAACTGCACTGACTGACAGCTTGTGTAAAATGAGCGCAGGAACAAGTCCTCTAACTGCTGATGTCAATAACACTGTTGGAAAGCCTCTTGTCCAGTCAGATTCGAGAAACTTACTATTAAACATATATTAATATACCAATGAGCTTAATACACATACACACTGTGTGTGTGTATAGATAGATAGATAGATAGATAGTATCACATATTGCGATATTCACTCAAATCACTGCAAGGGAAATCTCTTCACCACGACACTGACAGCCCTAGTTACCAAGAAAATATAGCATTTTCATACTAGATTTAGGTTGGGTTGTCTGACAGTGTGGGTGGGGGTCCCTGGTTTACAATCAATCAATCAAAAAATAAATAAATAAATAACTTTGAATCATTCACTTTTAGATTAGAAAACTTTGAGCTCAGTTCAAACACATCCAAAGCTCTTATCAGAATCTTATCACAGTGCAGGTAAAGTTGTCTGACTAAGTACAATGTACAGCTTATAATACTCCATATAGGACAGTGACATACTGAACTTCACAATGTTGTTAGTATGCATTAAATAAAGCATCTCCAGTTTATATTTTGTTCAGCTTATTTGTGTATTTCTCAAAACAAAATGTCTATTATATTATTATTTTTAACATACATATTATTATTATTTTTTACCTTAAGTAGGTTCTGTAGCTTTTATTCCATGCTTCAGTTGGAAACTTCTGCAAGAGCCCAAATGCAGTCTATTCAAAAACTGTGTATGCTGTCACCTGCTGGACTGTTAAAGACAGACAGTCAATCACATATGGCCACATATGGTACTGTGGTCTTTCAACACACAGAGGGCAACCTAGTCATTTAAAAAAAAAAGTTTTTTTTTTCTTTTTCACTGAAAACAAGATTATATAGACAGTCTGTTGCGAACACCATGATACTTCCAAAATGCTCCTGTTTTCTCCATATTTACCAATTTGTGAGAATTTATTTATTTGCTTGGACCCCACAGAACAGACGACTTTTATTCTCTAGTTTGTTGCCACAACAGCAGATTTCTCCACCACTGAATAGATGCTATGCAGGTTGTTCCTGTGAAGTCAGCAAAGTTTCACTGTTGAGACCCTTATCAGCCACTTTCACATGACCGACGAGTGCGTTGTCAGTGGACAGATCAGTCATGTTAGGGTATGTTTGTGCACACACCCTTGAAGCAAAAAACAGTAACTCATTGTCTAGGCCTATTTTTTAAACCAACCCACACATATTTTTTTAGAAGAATTTGGCTGATCAACAGTCAGAGTTCTGTGCAAAAAGATGGTGTCCACCAAACATTCATGCAGTTTTAGTGACAGACTTTCCAGAGAAACAGGAGCGATGCAGTTATTTTAAGCTTTAATTCCTCTCCAGTCCTAATGGTTCCTGAATGGAGTGAATAGCACACATTTCCTTTGAGGCTAGGAACGTCAGGAGGGGGTGGGGCAGGGAATTGGGCTGGGGTTGAGGAATGCCACATTGTGTTTAGCCTTTTGTTCCCATCACTTTGGGCAGTCTCAGATGACTCTGACACGGCAAACAATCACCTCCCTCCCAGCCGTCACAGGTACAATGAGAAGGGCAGTTAGTTAGCACGAAACAGGAAGCACCAGCTCTAAACTCTGTGGCAGGACAGAACAGCCCGTCGCTCCTCGAGGGAGGAGTTGTGTACAGCTCCTTATTTGGTTGAGAGTGATCACATGGCCTGCCGCGTCTGAACAACAGTTGGGAAGAAGTCAGAGAACTTCGAACTCTGGCGAGCCCAGGAGACTTGGGGTGAGACAGAGAAAAAAAGACTCAAGGAATATAACACTGAGCACATGGTGTGAGGGAAAATGCCCACAAACTTCACAGTGGTGCCGGTGGAGGACACCCCTATATCAAATCCAGACTATGATGAAGAGATAATGAAAGAAGAGGACAAGGACGAGCCATACACGGCAGCGGGACCCAATTCAGGTGAGAGCTTTCTGTGGAAAAAAATTCTGCCTGGACATGTGCAAACAGAAGAGGAGAACTTTTAAAGGCTTATTGTGCAAGGCTTGGGTTTTCTTAAAAGCGTCTGTTTACAGCAGGGCTGTCCAAACTCGGTCCTGGAGGGCCAGTGTCCTGCAAAGTTTAGCTCCAACCCTAATTAAACACACCTGAACCAGCTAATCAAGCTCTTTCTAGGCATAGAAACTTCCAGTCAGGTGTGTTGAGGCAAGTTGGAGCTAAACTCTGCACCTCCAGGACCGAGTTTGGACAGCCCTGGTTTACAGTAAGCGCATCCTCAGAAGCAAATGTGTGCCATGTTCACTGCCATGTGTTTGTGAAATCATCTTCCATGGAGTATAAACAATTGGTGGTTTCTTGGTGCCTTTTTTCCCCTTCATTTTCCTGTTTCTCTTTTACTCTGACATCTTTCACTGTTTCTCTTTAGATTAATTACTTAATCTGTTGCTCCACTTTTTTGTGTAGAAAAAAAGAAACCTTAAAGTCAAGTTGCACAATGTCTTCTATCCTGGACGTTCTGAACTTTCTTTTGTGGATTCCAATCAAATTTAAAGGATCAGTTCACCCAAAAATTAAAATTCTGTCATCATTTACTCCCCCTCAAGTTTCAAATCTGTATGAATTTCTTTCTTCTTCTGAACACAGAAAATGGCATTTTGAAGGATGTTGGTAACCAAACAGTTTCTGACCTCCATAGTATTTTTTCCATACCATAGAAGTCAATAGCTACCCTCAACTGTTTGGTTACCATTATTCTTCCAAATATCTTCTTCTGTGTTTAGCAGAAGAAACAAATACATAGGTCTGGAACAACATGAGAGTGAGTAAATGACAGAATCTGAATAAGAACTAAATAGATGTCAGTTCATTCTTTGGGCATTTTAAGTTGCATCAGGATTCTTGTCATGTTGCTTGTTGTATCTTTATTTACATCAAATGAGGAAGTTGCTGGTCGATGTTCCTTCATTTTCTGACTTGACACACTATTGGAACAGGTGTAATCATCTTAAAGTTTATCGTTATCCATTCACATAAGAATTGCATAATCCAGAAGATTTTTTTTATGTGTGTTAATGTGTGTACAGGGGTGTGTAGCAGAGCTTGTTGTTCATCATTATGGAATTTGTCCTCTTTCTTTTAACTGGCCTATTTAAAACTTTCCATGACAAAAATAAGTTTAATTGTGCTGTTTCCCTTTTAAGATGAAATGCTGCTTGTGAAAAAACCTTCCAGTGGCTGTAAAGGCATTTTGTATAGGCTGCATCAGATGAACATTTAACCCTATAAAGCCCTATTGTAGAGTACATGAATCTCTTATAAATTAACAAGGTCAGAACTTTGATGAAAAACCTGCTCTACATGCCTTCTACCCTCTGATTGATAGTTCATACATACAACTATAAAAATGTCCTATTCAGGTTATCTTTTTAATGTGAAAACTTTATAAAGTAAACATAAGAATAAATGGTCATTTTTATTATTTCACCATTTACTAGACTGAAACAACTTAGTTTTACTTGATTATCCATGCATAATT